ATATATATATATATATATATATATATATATATATATATATATATATATATATAGTAATTATAGAAATATTACATGATATTTTTTGTTTTGAAGTGAAAATATCAAATAATTTGGAATTAGTTTGGAAATAGTTTGGAATAGTCAGGAATTTTAGGGTGACTTACATTGTAAAAGAACATGTTAATAACCGCTATTTGCGAAAATAATAAAGAATATTTTCCGTTCGGCTTAGTGCACCTTACCTGCGTATGATTGCGTTTTGTGTAAAATATTTTTTATATTTTGAAATTTCCGAATATTTCATAAATCTCATAAACATATTATTATTTCAATCAAAACTTTGTTCGCAAACAAATATATTTGAGGTAGATGTGAAATAATCTATATGAAAAGAATTTCTCAATAAATGCAATTAAAATTTAATACGTTAATAATAACTATAAAATAATCTACAAATATAAATATTCAATAAATAATATCTAATTAAAAAATAATAATATAATAATCTAATAATACATCTTTTACAACAGGTTACTATCGTGTTAACTACGACACCAAAAATTGGTTAATGATATCGACTTACTTACAAAAAAAGAATTTCTCACATATACCTCCCATTAATCGCGCCCAACTCATAAATGATGCGTATTATTTCACAACAACAAATCAATTAGGATCTTATGTCTTCGTCAATATTACTAGGCATCTAAAGATGGATACAGATTTTATAGTGTGGTATCCTATGTTTAACATTTTTTCGCATATGTCACTTTATTTTAAATTTTCTGAGAGTAATCGTATCAAGGTGAGTAAAAGGAAATTTCATGGATAACGCTTATCTGCTGTTAACACATGTTGTCTAAAAGAAATAAGAAATCATAGTATGACAGATTAATCGGCTTATAAATCTGATAGTCTTTTGCATATATTGTACCTGCGCGCATAAAAACAATGCCTATTGCGGTGACAAAATGACTTGATAACAATAACATTATATAACCTGCGCCTACGCTTTTTAGGAACATTTTTTGGAAATTCTGGATGGAGTAATTACGAGGTTAGGATACGATGACAATTTTGGAGATGATGCCATGAGGAAATCGTTGAGACATTTAGTACGGAAGTGGGCCTGTAAATTTGGTCACCAGGACTGTCGAACTGCCGCATACCAGAGTTTGATGCTTTATATATATTATGGGGATGAACTGTACAAGTAATTCTTATCGTAATCTACACATTATCCTTCAAAATATTTTATAAATTATGTAGCTAAACCACAACAGTCGATATCGTTCTTTAACTAAATGTGACTAAGAAATAATATTAAATGCTAAACTGTTATTAATACACGCGCGCGCACACACATACACTCACACGCGTACACGCACACACGAAAGCGTATATTTCTTTTCATTCCGCAGAATCCCGGCATTATTGAAGGAATGGATATTATGTGATGGATTAAAGTTGGAAGACCCAAATATATGGAACTATGTATTGAATAAAAGTATAAGTTACAAAAACATGGAGCTCCTAAAGTATTTGTCATGTACAGAAAATACTTCGATCATCGTGCATTACTTAACTTTGATGATACGAACAAATTATTTCTCGGAAATGGAGCAACATATGGGACCAATATGTCGTGAGATTGTGAAAAAACATGTTAGGAGAAGTCCTGTGCTAAATTTTGTAATTGACAATTTTGATATAATACAGAGCAGGTACTGAGCTTTCTGTGACAAAAATACATTATTTATTCTTGAGAAATGTAGCAGTGACTACTAAAGTTAAATTGAATTTTTTACAATTTTACAGATTTCAGCAAGATTTCCCTCCTGGCGTTTTATTAAATGATATACTTATGAATGTATATTCGATAAAAGACGTTGATATGGTAAGCATCACACTGTAAAAATCTTTATTGAATTATTTATTCTTCATATTATAAATAAATTAACCATTTTGTGCTTCTCAGTACATTCTGTAAATAGTCTTATTTATTAAAAAAAAGAAGATTTATAGTGTAGACAACTCATTGTTGTCATATCGTCGAAATTGTAACGATTGATACACACGATTGTTGTAGTTACATGAACTGGCAGATAAAATTTTTTCTGGGAATACGGAGAATTTTCATGAATCACTTACAACATTAACATACCAACGGAAAAAATATCTAAGGAAAGTGTTGAGTAAGTTTCAAATGTTTCATCGTCAAGTTTATTAAGGCCGCTACAGTTTCCCGGATCTTTGAACAAATCGACACTATGTGGAATAATTTGAAATAATCGCCATACAATTGCAATTATCGTTTAAAATCCGTTTCCATAGCGACAAACAATTTTGAATATTAAATTTGCTAAAATGTGGTATGTGAGTTACCTTTGACGCTTATATAAAGTCTAACAGATCTGACATGAAATAAGACACATCCTTTTACTATTTATATAATAGATGAATGATTGTTCATTACGTTGAGAGATATCTATTAATAATATATAATGAGCAGATATATTAATAAATAAACAAGAATTGTGATAGAAAAAGAACTGGTATATACGTGCATTGTAACTGCAGACCTACGTATGTATTGTAATTGTATTGAAATTGTCTTTTGGTTATTATTATTTAATAAACTCTTCTGCAACAGCTCTTCATTGTCCTTCTTCATGTGATATTCTCAACTATATTAGTTGAAGTATCTTTTGTCATGAAAATCGTTTTTATTTTGTTAAACCTTCGTTCTGTATATGTCTATTAATAATCTGTATTAAATAATAAGGGTAAGTAAAGCAGTCCAGGCAAATATTGGCAAAAGCGCGAAACACTCAAGGCAATTGCTAAACTTTTTTCTGCGAAAAAATTGACTCTCTTGAGTCGTAACCTTTCATTACGGCGTTCTTTTCGGCAAGTAGGGAGGTTCAGGTTCAACTCTTGGCTGAGACGGTTCTTTTCGCAACTATAATTATTTTAAGTGCTGGAATAAACGTATAAAGTAAGGAAGCAAAGGTATATACTAGGAAGCGAGAACTTTGGAAAACAAGAGATTGGAAATTATGTATTTCTTCGTTATTTTAAAGCAACATATAAATATTCTTTGTAATTGTTATTATTATACTATAAATCATACTGTTTCTGTAATTTTACAAACATCTTACACACTCTATATAAGCATTTTACAATCTAAAAATATATTAAAATATTTTCAAATGTACAAAACTTGACTGATAATATGGCTAAACGTACATTTGAGATATCTCATATAATATATCTAACAAAGAATAATATTAGAGCTCAACAAAAGAAACCAAGTTTAGGAGAAACAAAAGGAAATAAACATTGAAGCTTGAGGAATATTATAATTAATGACTTTGAAAATTGTTGTAACTGCCAATGTCAGTATTGTTAATTGCATTTGTCAATCGCAATTTTATTTAAATACGTTTTAAATAAACACTCTTCATCCGGATAACTTACGTATATAAAAAAATGTTTAACTTTGAAAATGCAAATTCTTTAAGATCAATCATGTATCGAATAGATGTCTTGTATGTATTGTTTCGTAGATCACTCGCATACATATGTTTACTGACGCCCTTTCTTATATATAAGTTTCGCTATATAGAAGTTTAGCTTGTTTACTTTAGTTTTTATATATAAATATATAAGCTACAGTTATCGTCGTTAGTTTAAAGCGATTCGTCAAGAGGGAAAAAGATATGATATCCTCAAATTATTTTTTCCAATGAATAAATTATTAAAGAAATATTTATCAGCACAAATTTTCGGCAAACATAACTCAGCATCTTATAGAAAAAAACATAAGCGTCATTTTCAAACTTGAAGCTATACAGTAAGTTGTCTCAACGTTATTTAGAAAGAAACAAAAATAACAAACGTTTTATCTAACACTTGATAATATTATCAGTGCAATCAATAAGAATACAATTATGTGAACAAAATGAAGTTTTTCTGTAAATATCGACACACATATATATCATTTATATCTTACAACTGAGAAATGAACATATCAGAGAATACAGCTGTGGCTTGCTTCCATTAAAATTGCGTTTCAATTCGCAATATACTTCGTAATATAGTTTTCTGATAACACAAGTAAGTATTATATTATTTATAAGTGAATTGGAACATATAATTGCACAATCCCCCCGCGCTAGAGTTATAACTCGTAAGCACTGCTTAAAATCAGAATTAAAATTGTGAAAATAATATTCAAGAATTAGTTAAAGTTAACTCAACGTATCTTTTTTAATTATTACTTTATTATTTTTCACGAGAGATTATTGCATTTCATCTAAGATATTATATTTATTGCACATAACGTAGTTAATAATTAAAACTTCATTATTTCGACATTACAAAATGTGTAATCGATAGAACGCTTATAGTATATCCCTAACATTTTCTATTCTACTGAATATTCTATTCCACTAAAATATTTTTCAAGGAATCTCTTTAAATATATAACATTGTTTTGTTTTCCTATCAGCTTAATTTTGACTTTCCAATATTAGCAAGAAAATTATTTATTTAGCCAGAGGAGATAACGTAGTATTATATATCACCGATATACCTATACTCTCTTAACTCTCCTTAACAGATGTCGACCATCTAAACTTCAAACGCTTTCCTTTTTTCTTTCTTCCTTCTTATCTAAAATTGCATATTAAGGGACGATATCATTACGTGTGTTTCATATAACGTATTATTTTACTTAGAGAAAAATTGTTTTTGTGCAGATATAATTGGAGACGAAAATGAGGTCGATAGTATTTCTTGGAGTCGTTCTGATATTTACCGTCACGGTCGCTAACGAGAATAGAATATATTCCAAGAAAATAAATTGCTCGTCCGTTTCTGAGAATTTAAATATCACTGAAGTAATGCCAATAAAATATGATGCTAGAATCATAGTAAAACCAGATCAAAGAATATTATCAGGCATCATGAATATCTTGATTGACGTCAAGAAATCAGTGTGGAGCATAAGCTTACACGCACTAACGCCACCTGCCTATGATATTTTTCTTTTATACGCCACGAATGTTACGATATTTGATTCATTTTTAAAGGCTGAATCGAGACGTACACGTTATAAATTTTCCGAGTTCCAATATTGTGACAACAAGAATCTTATAATTTTGAAGTTTAACGAAATACTAAGTAAAGGAAAATATCTGTTAACACTAGTTTATAGGTCCATTATAAATCACAATATCCAGGATATCTTTTACCCAACTACTTGGAGTAGCAGAAATCAAAAGTAAGTAAAACATGACATATTTTTAATTATAGATTTATATATACAAGGTGTCTAACGATAACATATTAACATCTCTTGTAACACGTAATTTTTTTACTTTTTTAATCCGTCTTGCCTGTACATAGTGGTTGCATAGCGAATTGACGGATATCCTGTAGGTAATATATATAATGAAAAAGTTTGATATTATAGATTCAGAACGTATATTACATATTTAAAGTACAGATTTATTGTTGATAATATTACAAATTTTTTCGATATAATACTACAAACTTGAAAACTTCATATGAAGCATCTAGTGCTTAAAAACGATAGGAATACATCTATAATATATACATCTATAATAAAACACCACATTAACGTCAGTTTTGCATATGTGCATTGATTAGACAGTTACACAACAGCAGAACATTTATCCTTATCAAATACTTTATATTGCAATACAACAGGTTGCTCACAAATCTCTACACACCACACGCGATACGAGCATTCTTTCCATGCTGGGACGACCCGAGAGTAAAAGCAACTTACAACATATCCATCTTATTTCCCGCAGATTACACAGTTTTTTCAACAATGTCCGAAAACTACTCTTCCTATGTAGAGCCAGCGATTACAAACTTTGGCATAAAATTGACAATTTTCAAAGAATTCGTTTTGATGCCCACTCATCTGATAGTATTTTTGATAATCAATGATATCACGATGGATTTTGATAAACGCGATATCCATTATATGTGGCACAAAATAGACGCGGGTAAAAGATTCACTTATTTGCTAGAAATGGCAGATAATGCAACATGTTATTTTGTTACTCACATGAAAATGAACGCATCGGTATTCTCTCCTAAAATTAACCATGTCGTACTTCCAAATAGTCCTATGAAATCAATGGGTGCACCCGGTTTTGTTGTTTACAGGTATGCAATAATCATGTTAAAAATATTACTACGGGAAGCGTTAACATTACAAGGAATACTTAACATTCTGAAATTTGTTAAAACGTATTTATTTGAGCACAAATTGAGTATATCGTACATAGGCATATAATATTGCTAATGAGCAACAGTAATATTAAGACTTCTTGTATAAAACAAATTGGCACACAGTGGCATAAATTATCGTGAATAAATATTTTTGAACTTATGTAATATAACCAAATTATAGAAAGATAATTTATTATCATTATTGGTAGGTTAATGCGTGACAGGTTATCCTTGCTGCTTTTATTCCATTTTCTCTCAATTTTTTCCCTAAAATTTCAATTAAATTAAATATACTTCCAATATGTTTCTGTCAGCTACAAATAAGAGCCATTACTTTCGGAAAATCTAACGTATTACCGGTTTACGGAATTTTGCATATAATTGCACTAATAATTTGTTAAAATATCGAGAATGCACACATATCGAATATTTAGGTGTTCGCATCACACACGTTACAATATATTGAAACTCCTGCAATTCTAAATTTTTTTCTGAAATAGAGTATTATATTGGACACAATATATAAATATAATTTTAAAATATTATTACGCAGAAAAATGGGGACAATTAAGTTATATTCTTGATTATTTTATCACAAATAATACTATGCAGAGACAGTTATAATGATAAAAAAAAGGAGAAGTAATACAGAAAGAGAGAAGTAGATAATGTAGAAAGGGAAAGATATATACAAAGTATATATATATTCGGAAATATTTTAAATCTTATATATCAATATGATAATGTTTAATAAATCTATTTTCTTTCAATTTACAGGGAAAAAGATATTACGTTCGACGAAGTTTTAGATTTTCCGTGTAGGGATTTAGATGTTATAACGTTAGTAACATACGAAATGGCACGTCAGTTGTTCGTAGGTGTTGTCAGCCCGCAATTAGATACTGATTATGTATGGTTGAACGAGATATTTGCATCGTTCTACGGCTATTATGTCATGGACAAGGTTACTTTATGTCGTTAGAATTAATAATTTGCAAATAAGGTTTCATTTTTAATAGTTAACTATTGAGTACTTTTAAACACTTAGAAACATATTACAACAACAACAGATAAATAACGACAACGGATAACTACAATCTGTTGTTTCTAGATATGGGAATCAAACCGATTAATGGAACTGTTTGTAGTTAAAATTATACAGCCCACTCTAAGCAGTGATATACTCTTAGAAAGGAAACCTATTATGAACGAGGCTAAGAACAGTGTTGGAATTGATGGATTACTTTATCCTCTTCTCTATCATAAGAAAGGTGAGGTTGAATAAATATATATACCTGATTATTCATAACTTATTTAATGTTTCATAAATATATTAATAACTAAATTATATGTTTCATGAGTATAAATAACTAAATTATATGTTTCATCATTTACATCGACATAGCATTTGCTCTAATTCGCATGCTGTCTCGACTTTACCGTCCCAAAGTTTTCAACGAGGCTATCAGGAAATATGTAAACGAACGGTTAGTAACAGATAGAAACATAACTCTGTGATCTTATATTTCATTTTCATTGAAATTTTATGAAGCTAGCCAATATTCAATTTTATGCTTTCTGACGTTCACATTGACGAACGCGCTATAAAAAACTCAATTTATTGGACTACTCATCACTATTTATTGGGAGATATATGCAAAAAACTGTTAGTTGCTTACAGCATGCCAAGCACACGCATGAAATTATGCACAGACTAACTTTACACATTCAATCGTTGTTTGTTTATTTGACGGAATATTATGTTGATATTCTTTTTTAATGTTTATACGAGACACATCTAAAAAATGGGAGCATTTCATTGGAGCATATCCTAAATTGATTATATTTACACAGTTATAATGCCATATTAAGCATTGTTTCATGAACATATACTAAATAATGTTAGTAGTTAGAACGTTAAATGATATGGTTTTGATGCGTTTTCCTTTATATCTATATATCTTTTATATGCGTGTGTGTATGTATGTTACAAAAGCATGCTCTAAAAGTCAAATATTTAAAAATGCCGTGTTGTTTACCATGTTAGTACAAAGAATATATGGAGTATATTGGAAGAAGCTTATTCCATACGAAATATGGCCCACGATACAAGCAATACGATAAAAGAAGTCATGAATACATGGTTAACGAAAACACACCACGCCGAGCTGCTTGTCGAACGTTATTATGACAAACGGCGACCTGTGACTTATCTCTCATTGTATGCACGGATTAATCATAATGAATGGATAATACCTGTCAATTATTTTACGGAAATGACTTACATGTCTTCCAATACTTTGGATGTTATGTGGCATGATTGGTGTTACTTGAATAGTACCCTAAAGGCAGGGTATGATGATATGCACATACCTATAGATAATTTCCTCATAGTCAACGTAGAACAATCAGGTAAGGGCACATACCAACATATTTACTATACTATACTGTTCCTTTCGATACATGGTGCCTAATTTTTATGAGATTATTCGAAAACTAAGTTTTGAATCTAAAAAATGTTTCAAACAAAATTTATACGGTTTGAAAGGGGATGCCTTGTAATAAATAAGATTATTCGCTTATCTACGCTTAATAACTGTACAACTTTATTATAATCACATGAAGTCATCATTATAACTTTATTATAATCAGCTTGATGTTTTTCAATACTATTACGTAGATTTTTGATACAAATTGATGTACAAATCGATGATGTGTGACCTCCGATCATTCTGCATATAAAAGTACTAGAATTGAATCGTCGAAAAATAAATGCCTCTTAAGATATATTGTATATGATATTTTTACAATTTTAAGTACGAGATATAAAATATCTAGTAAATTATTTATTTCTCGATAATCTCACTATAAAAATTTGAACATAAAATAATGTTAGAAATCGATCGGAGATATATTTCTCATACACTAGTACATTAATTTTACATTAGAATTTGTAAAGTGCAACGATTTTGTTTAACGTTTCCCTGGTAAAAAAAAGTTGATAAAGGATGATAGAATAAAATTCTATCGTTAAATCGTTTTCTATTGTTCTGAATATGGATTTTAATTTATGAATTCACAAATTTGAATAATATTCTATTGTATATGATAGAAAAAGTATTTAATACGTTAATAACAGCAATAAAAGAATCTAATAAGGTATAGTGATCTAATAAATTTTAAAGTAAAAAAAATAACTAAGTAATAATAAAATAATTTAATAACATTTCTTTTATTACAGGTTACTACCGTGTTAACTACGACGACAGGAACTGGATGCTACTATCGACGCACATGCAAAAAAACAATACCCCACACATACCTCCCCTTACTCGTGCTCAACTGATAAATGATGCGTATTATTTCGTAACAGTAAGAGAAATCAGTGCTTCTATTTTCGTCGAAGTCACTAAGCATCTAAAGAGGGACACAGATTTTATCGCATGGTACCCTATGTTTAACATTCTGTTGGATATGTCACCTTACTTTAAGTTCTTTGAAAGTAATTATATTAAGGTAAGTATAAGGAATTTTATAGGTAATGCTTATCAGCTGTTAGACATGTAGACGCTAATAAAAATAGAATGTTATGATATAACAAATTAATCGACTTGTAAATCTAAAAGAATTTTGCACATGTTGAATCAATCTACACAAAATCTACACGATGTCAACTTAAGTAACAAGGTGACTTGACATTATTAACGTTGTATAACGTACGACTTGCAGGGACACTTTTCCGAAATCCTTGATGGAGTACTTATCACAATAGGATACGAAGAGAATTCGAGTGATGATCGAATGAGAAAATCGCTAAGACATTTAGTACGGATGTGGGCCTGTAAACTTGACCACCCTGTGTGTCAAAATACTGCATCCCATCGTTTAATAGATTATTATATAGATAATTTGGAACAACTAAACAAGTAATTTTTCTCGTAATTCATATATATCCTTCAAAATACTTGATGAATTATGTAGCTACACTACAACAGTCAATATAATTCTTTAACTAAATATGACTAAGAAATAATATCAAACGCTAAACTATTATTACACACGCGCACACACACACACACACACACACACACACACACACACATATATATATATATATAAGCGTTTATTTCATTTCACTTTGTAGACTTTGGGTAATGACGAAAGAATGGATACTTTGTGATGGATCGAAGTTAGAAAATTTAGATGATTGGAAAATTATTTTAAATAAAAGTATGATTTATAATAATACAGAGCTCTTAGAGTATTTGTCATGTACTGAAAATACTTCGATCATCATATATTACTTAAATTTGATGCTACGGACAGATTATTTCTCGAGACTAGAACAATCTATGGGACCAATATTTCGTAAGATTGTGAGAAAACATGTTAGAAAAAATATTGTGTTACGATATGTGGTCGATAATTATCGTACAATAGTAAGCAGGTATTATTTTTCGTGATAAAAGTAGGTTGTTTCTCCTTTGGAAATATAGCAGTATCTAGTAAAGTTCAATTTAATTTTACAGGTTTCCAGAGGATTTCCCAGCTGGCATTTTAATAAGTGATATGATTATGAATGTGTATACATTGAACGACCTCTATATTGTAAATTTTTCAGTTTAAAATTCCTTAAATTATTTATTATTAGCAAATATGATTCTGTTTAACCACTTTGTACTATTCTGTAAACATTGTGTAAAATAAGTTGTTTTATTTACTAAAAAAGATATTTTTGTTTTGACCTGTAATTATCATGTCGACAGAGTTGTAATATCTTACTCAATTCTAATATCTGTCTAATATCTGAGTTGTAATATCTATCTCAATTAACTGTTACAGATACGAGAATATGTTCTCAGATTATTCCTTCCGGATACGGGAGGTATTTCATTTGCTTCACATCTTCTGCAATCAACCGACGTGCTGACTATCCATCGGCAAAGATATTTAGCGAAAGTGCTGGACAAGTTTCAAGAGTTTAGTCGAATAGACGAATAATCGAACTGAGAATGTTTAAAAGAGATCGACGCTTTAATCTCCAGGATCAAATCAATATTATATAAAATAATCAAAATAATCATTATATGATATTGCATACTATATTACTGTTATTATTAAGAATGCTTTTCCAAAACGATAACATTTTTTAATTTTTTAAAAATACTAACATGTGGTATATGCTGCATGGCTTCCTATAATATTAAACATTTTGATAAGATCTATATCTGACATAAAAAAAGATTTATTCTTTTATTATTTACGTAATGTATGAAAGATCGTTCATTAGATACGTTGAGGGAAATTTATTTTGAGAAGAGTAGATATCTTAATGAATAAATGAGAATTATGTTAAAAAGGAACTGGAACATACGCGCTTTGTAACTGTAACATTATGTATGTACATTATATTGATATTATTTTTTTGTTATCATAATTTAATAAATTTTTTTGCAGCAGCTCTTAGTTGTTCATGTTTTTATTGGTATTATCTTTGTTTCTAGTTGACATAACTTGCAGTGTCTTCGAATACTTTGTTATAGCAATCGCTTTTATCGTAAATAAACTTAAACATCTGAAATATTGCTATTAAGAAATTGTTTGATATATTCGAAAGTAAATTTGTAATTGTCTTAATAACCGTTATTTATTATTTTAACATGTTAGACTAGTATCTTCTACATTATGTTTGAGAATTAATTACCAAGGAGCCATATCAATGGCTAGACATGCATTACAAGTGCGTAAACTTAAGGATTTGGCACACGATTTTTCCTGAAAGAACAAACCGGGAAAATAAAAAGCTTTTAAAGTATTTGGCTTGTTCTGCGAAAAAAGATATTGCTATACATTATTTGGGTAACGAAAACGATAACGAAAACATGTGGAAAATAGATATAAAAAGAAGTGTGTCGTTTTAACGCATAAATTTGCCAATTTTGTACAATTCATATCTAAAAAATTATGGTACTTGTTTGAAAAATAAGAAAGGATCTTTCCCTCTGATTTGACAAGTTTAAATTGCACATGAGTAGATGCACGCGATGTAAGGAAATGTAAATACAACTCATCCTTTATTTCACGTGCTGGAAAGAATGTATAAAGAAAGGAATTAAAGATCAATATTATGGAGAAAACGAGAATGTTGGAAAGCAAGAGATTGGGAACTATGTACTTCTTTGTTATTTTAAAGCAATATATTCTTTGTAATTGTTAGTATTATGCTATAAATCATACTGTTTCTGTAATTTTACAAACATTTTACGATTCAAAAATATATTAAAATATTTTCAAATGTACAAAACTTGACTGATAATATGGCTACCATAAACGTACATTTGAGATATCTCATATAATATATCTAACAAAGAATAATATTAGAACTCAACAAAAGAAACCAAGTTTAGGGGAAACAAAAGGAAATAAACATTGAAGTTTAAGGAATATTAGAATTAATGACTTTGAAAATTGTTGTAACTGCCAATGTCAGTATTGTTAATTGCATTTGTCAACGCATTTTTATTTAAATACGTTTTAAATACTTCAAACACTCTTCATCTGCATAACTCACGTATATAAAGAAATGTTTAACTTTGAAAATGCAAATTCTTTAAGATCAATCATGTATCGAATAGATGTCTTGTATGTGTTGTTTCGTAGATCACTCGCGTATATATGTTTACTGACAGACGCTGTTTCTTATATATAAGTTTCGCTTATATAGAAGTTTAGCTTGTTTACTTTAGTTTTTATATATAAATGTATAAGCTACAATTATCGTCGTTAATTTAAAACGATTCGTAAAGAAGGAACAAGATACGATATCCTCAAATTATTTTTTCCAGTGAATAAATTATTAAAGAAATATTTATCAGCCCAAATTTTCGGCAAACATAACTGAACATCTTACAGAAAAAACTCTAAGCGTCATTTTCAGAAATTTTTTTCTTGAAGTTGTACAGTAAGTTGTCCCAAAATTATTTAGAAAGAAACAAAAATAACAAACCTTTTATTTAGCACTTGATATTATTATCAGCTGAATTATTAAAATTGCGGAATAGAAAAGTCAAATACCATTTTGCGAAATTCACAATAGTTTTCAAGTAATTAATTATTTTGTCGGAACAAATTAGCGTGCAGGCTCGAGCGCTAATTTGCTCAGACAAAATATTTAATTACTCGAAAACTATTGCGAATTTCGCAAAATAGTATTTGACTTTTCTGTTCCGTCTAATTCGTTCTACTTTTCTACGAAGTGTGTCAAGAAAGGTTTTGGACACCCTGTATATAAATTTACGTGTACACACACACACACACACACACACACACACACACACACACACACACACACACACATAAAAATATCTGGTAATTTAATGCAAGAAGACTGAGATGTGAATAGAACAATTTAAGCTGAACAGAAGAGATATGTAATGACGTCCACGAGGTAACTTCACTGAATATATCCCACTGCTTAAAATGTATTCATTCTCCAACGCTTTGTAATTGTTATCTATACATGTTCTATGTCGTACGAATTAAACATAATTTTTTATATCCATTGTGCACGCACGCGTGACTTAACGGACAACGTTACATTATTAACTCATTTTATTGTTTAAATGGCACGTATGTCATGGTAATTATTAAAATATTTAATGACGTTTCATGTTTTGGAGTAAAAATATGAAATAGTTTTACCAGGAATTTTAAGGTAACTTACGCAAAAAGTATGTTAGAACAATTTTAAGTATATCAATCTTTAGAACTTCGACAATAATGGGTTACAACATAAATCTTTCATTTTTTTTAAATAAGACAACTTAATTTACACAATGTACAAAAAAGCGCGAAATGTTTAGTCTAATTATATTATGAGGAAGATATAATATAATAAAGAATTTTACAGTGTTTATAATAACCGCTATTTGCAAAAATAGTGGAGGATATTTTCCGTTCGGTTTAGTGCGCCTTACCTGCGCATGATTGCGCCTTATGTGAAATACTTTGTATATTTTGAAATTTTCGAATGTTTCATAAATCTCATAAACATATGTTCATTTTTATTGAAGCTTTTTTCGCAAACAAATGTATTTGAGGTAGATGTAAAATAATCCATATGAAAAATATTTCTCGATAAACGCAATCAAAATTTAATAAGCTAATAATAATAATTAAACAATCTAAAAATATAATAATCCAATAAATAATAAATTAATTAGAGAATAATCTAATGAAACACCTTTTATAACAGGTTACTATCGTGTTAATTACGACATCAAAAACTGGTTACTGATATCGACTTACAAAAGAAAAATTTTTTACATATACCTCCCATTAATCGTGCCCACTCATAAATGATGCATTTTATTTCACAACAACAAATCAATTAGAATCTTATGTCTTCATCAATATTACTAAGCATCTAAAAATAGAGACAGATTTTACAGTGTGGTACCCTATGTTTAACATTTTTTCGCATATATGTCACTTTATTTTAAGTTTTCTCACAGTAATCGTATCAAGGTGAGTAAAAAGAAATTTTATAGATAATGTTTATCAGCTGTTAGTACATGTTGAAAGTGCAAAGTTGTTGAGACAAATCATATATCAAATAGATGTTTTGTATTATATTGTTTTCGTAGATCACTTGCGTGTATGTGTTTACTGAGAGACGGCATTTCTTATATATAACGATAATAGTTTAGCTCGTCTACTTAAGTTCTTATATATAAATATATCAGATGTATCGGTTCTTGTCATTAGTTTGAAGCGATTTCTCGGGAAGGAAAAGGATACGACAGTTTTTAATTATTTTTTTTAGTGAATTAATTCAGTTGTGAATAGTAAATTATTGAAGAAATATTTATTAGTGAAAAATCGGCATGAGTAACTAGACATTTTGCAAGAAAAGTTACAAGCGTTGTTTTTAGATTTTAAGTTATACAGTAAATATAACTTACAGTAAGTATTATTACAGTAAGTATTATTACAGTAAGTATTATTACAGTATTTAGTGAGGAACAGACATAACGAACGTTTCATCTAGCACTCGATGGTATTATCATCTCACTCGTTAAAAATTATATTAATTATTACGATTACGTTACGATTATGTTAACATCATTAAGTCTTTCTGTAAATATCGATACACACACACACACACACACACACACACACATATATATATATATATATATATATATATATTCTTTAATTATCTCACAACTGAGAGAACGAGCATATCAGGAAATACAATTCTGAAGTTTAATTTATTCTTTCTTCCATAAAAATTGCGTTTTAATTTGCAATATATTTTGTAACATATTTTTGTGATAACGCAAGTAAATTCCATTATTTATAAGTGAATTGGAATGTAATTGCACAATCTGCGCTACGGTTATAGCGCGTGAGCACTGCTGGAAATCAAAATTAAAGCTGTCAAAATAATACGCAAGAATTAATTAATTCTAACACACTGTTGTAACTTTTTTAAATATTTCTATATTATTTCTTACGAGAAATTATTGCATTTCGTCTGTGATGCTATATTTATCGGATATAACGTAGATAATAATTAAGACTTTATCATTGTCCATATCGCAAAATATGCAATCAATGGATGCTTATATTATATCTCTAACATTTCTGGATATTCTACGCTACTAAAACGTTTTTCATAGTGCCTCTTCAAAAACATAACGTCATTTTGTTTTTCTATCGGCTTAGTTTTGACTTTGCATTAGTAGAACGTCAAAATAATTATTTGATTGGCTGTGGAATAAGTAACGTAAATATATATTACACATTATCAGTATGTGTATTGCTCCCCTCAACAGATGTCGACGATCACTATAGTCCAAACGCCTTCCATTTTTTCTTCTTCTTTCTTATCTGAAATTCCAATTTAAAGGACGATGTCATCACGTGTGTTTCATATAATATATTACTTTATTCAGATAGGAGATAAATATTTTTGTGTAGATACATGGAGACGAAAATGAGGTTAATACTACTTCTTGGAGTCATTCTGATATATACCGTCATAATGGCTGGTGGAATGTATTCTAAGAATATAACAGATTGTTCACGTGTTTCTGAAAATTTAAACATCTCTGAAGTAATACCAATAAGATATGATGTCAGAATCATTGTAAAACCACGTCAAAGAGTTTTGTCAACCTACCTAAATATTTTGATCGACGTCAAGGAACCAACGTGGAACATAAGCTTACACACAACATCGACACGCGGTTACGAAGCTGATGTAATTATAAATGGACTTCGCCCTAATGATTTTGATCTTTACGTATGATACAGATATCATCTTCCAGAGCAATATATCAAAAGTTTTATATGTCAATATCAAGGTCATTAAGGCGGATCATATTGTCGATATTTACTGAAGTTTTTTTTTTATACGCACACGAAAATTACGACGTTTAATTCATTGTCAAAGGCCGCACCGGGAGATGAACAGTATAAACTGTTCGAGTTCCAATATTGCATAAAAAAGGAAATTTTAATTTTGAAGTTTAACGTAAAACTAACTAAAGGACAATATCGGTTAATACTAGTTATTAGATCCGTTTTAAATAATAATGTCCAGAATATTTTCTATCCAACTACTTGGACCACTAATAATCAAACGTAAGTAAAAGATGCAATATTTTGAATTATAAATTTATATATACAAGATGTCTAACGATAATATTTAGTCTCTCATGTACATACACGTTTCTGATTATATTGACCCGTTATATCTGTACCAGCCACTGCAAAACAAATTGCCGAATATCCTGTATGTAATATATATATATATATATATATATATATATATATATATATATATAACAATAATTCTAAACTTTAGATATGTAATATTCGTTTTTAAACTATAATATTTTAATAGTCTTTATATATATATATATATATATATATATATATATAAAGACTATTAAAATATTATAATAGTATATTAAAATTTTTAATAGTCTTTATATATATATATATATATATATATATATATATATA